TATATATATGTACATGTATATGTATATGTATAAGATTGTTACTTTACCAGCAGCAAAGTCAAATGTAGTTGTTCTCAGTTGTACCACGTGTCGAAGTGCATTGAATTATGTGCCGTTCAGAGGGTCCATTCAACACTACGTTACAGTTACAAAGTTGAGTATAGTTGAATATAGATAAATATCGTTAGTTATAGTTGATTATAGTTAAACTATAATTAACTATAGTTAATAAAAAGTTGATTATAGTCAAATATAGTTAAATATCGCTAGTTATGGTTGAACTTAAATACAAAGTTGATTATAGTCCAATAGAGTTAATTATTGTTGGAATGCGCTGAATAACAGATGTCCGCCCCAACTGTCGACACTATTGCGACTGTGGAGTATAGCACACAGCGCATGCCGCGGTTCCAGCCGCAACATGAGAAGCTTTGGGGTAGCGATATAGTCTCATAATTCTCACGATTAGAACATCAGAGTGCATAGCGGCAGGGTTTAAGGTTTTGGGGTTTGAAATAGCTGGGCATTCGATCATGCAGGTAATTTTGATTTTAGGGTTTAGCGTTTAGAGAGTGTCCTATTTCCTGCCACCGGTTGCGTGCGTAGCTTCATACCTCAAAAAAGCGTGTAGCTCAATGATCAAGGTAAAACCCTAAACCCTAAAGTGCGGTACTTGAGAGGACATATAGCACCACTCAAACAACCATGGTATGCATGTTCCGCCACCGCAACCACCACACCTGCAACGGGGGGGTGGGGGGGGTCTACTTATATAGTGTACTTGAGTTAACATACCCGCAGCGAAGGCAGCGACGGTCTGTTGATAGTCAAAGACGGCTGTGTGGTATGCGTTGGCGATGTATGTGGTGCCGTCAATGGCTACGCCCACAACACAGTCAGGCGTATCCCGTACACTGCTGTTGTGGTGTGTGGTGTGTGAGGTGTGGTTGTCTGTGGAGGGACTGTTATCTGAGGGCAGAGCTATCTTTGCGATGGAGAAGACACCGGGCATAATGGTAGTCCAGACGCATTTCTGAGGGCAGGATGTTGGGTTTAGGGTTGAGAAGTCGTTGGTGGTGAAAAATCGCAGAAGGTATGTAATGGGAACAATGATTGCTAACAGTGGAACGTGTTTATGGGCTAACAACTGGGCCAAGCTAGTAGTGTTACGACAAATAAGGGATGACATGGGAAGAGTAAGACAGAGACACAATGAGCAAACCATGGGTGATACGATTATCCACAAA